GTCAACTGGGTCAACAGGGCCAACCAAGTCAATCAGGTCAATTAGGTCAACAGGGCCAGCCCCCTGTGGAGCAGCAAGTGTTGCACAGCAACCACTACAGACACACTTGGCCGCCCATCTCTGACGACCAGATGCCCGCTCGTACCAGCACTGCGGGCGGCAGAAGCAGGAGCGCGGGTAATAGCAGCGGCAGCAGCAGCAGCAGCAGCCGCACAGGAATCAGCCTACTAAGCACCAGCACTGGCACCAGCACTCACACCGCTTCTTCTACTGTTCCTGCTGCTGCTGCTGCATCTGCATCTGCTACCACTGCTGCTTTCCCGGGGATGCCTGGGTTCGGGTTCCCACCCATCTCTGCTTCTGCTTCTGCGAGTGCGTCAGCCTCCCCATCTCCCCTCTCCCCCGCTGCTTCCCCTGCTGCAGCATCAGCTGCCGCAGCAGCAGCAGCGGCAGGGGCAGCAGCAGCAGCGGGAGCACGGGCAGCAGGGGCAGCAGCAGGGGCGGAAAGATTTGCAAGTGCAGCCAGCAGCGCAAAAAGTTCAGTGGGCAGTGAAGATGCATGGGAGGTGGCTACTCTCCTCCAAACCTTCATCCAACTCCTCCATTTAGATTCCCACATTGAAGTGGTTTTCAAGCAAGGGCTAGGATCGTCTCTCGCCACGTCAGCATCGTCCTTATCCAGAGGATTTTCGCCAGGTCGGGCGGGTTTCGCTGGAGGGAATGTGATTGGCCAGCGGTTTCAGCCTCGGCGGTCAGCTTCGGCAGCGTCGGACCTGGAGGTAGCTTCGGACGTCAGGCCAGGTTCGGTGAACCTGGCGCATCACCTGAGGTCCGGAGGGTTCCTTAGCCTCTCGTTGTCGCATCCGTTGTTACCAGGTTACAACATGATTTCAGCTCCTGCTGTTCCTCCTGCTCCCGATGCTCCTGCTGCTGCGGCTGCTCCTCCTGTTCCTGATTTTTCTGCCTTTCCTGCTGAGGCTCGTCCTGCTTCTGCTGGTCCTGCCGCTGCTTCTGCTGGTCCTGCCGCTGCTTCTGCTGGTGCCACTGAAGCACATACTGTCCTTTCTCGCATGGATCGTTCTGCTGGAGTTTCCAGTGGACATGTGACTGTAACGAGTGGAGGTCACAACAGTCACGTGACTCTATCGAGTAATAGGCCCTCGCCTTACGATCGGCCCCACCATCAACCCCACCATCAAGACCACCATATCCATGGCCACTACCCTCACAGCCAGCAAAGCCAGGGGTATTTGTCAAACTACCCTGACGACAAACGTACACTTTACAACCACCGCCTTATGCACGGTACTGAGGTGCACAACAGTGGAGGGATGGCGGCCAATCACATAGGTCGAGCACTGGATCCTATTGGCCACTCTCGGCACAATTCACAGGGTAATCGTGACGATGGCGGTGAGAATCTGGTACAGGGTGTTTGTGGTGCTGGCGAGCATTTGCCCTCCGACCCTTTCGCAGATGGTGCGTCGCTGACAATGGATTATCAAGAGGGGTATTTTGATCCAAGACCGGGACGACAAGGTCAAGAAATTTCCGCCAGCGTCGGCGAACAAATTTATGGGATGGGATTGCCACTTGATAGATTTATTGGCAACTATGCGCATTATTCGCCGCAACACGGTTCCTCGTCCGAGCCAGGAGGCTCTTTTAGGTGAAGGATCAATTATTTGGGTGTCATATATACAGTGCAAGAAAGCTTGTATTATATAAACAATTGCTGCTGACAACTTCAAGGTGCTGCTTCCTAGGTCGGATGGGCAGGATTCTAAAGCGCAATGTATAGCGATGTCAGAGTAGCTATGTAGTGATACGGGCCTCGGGACTTACGGACAATTTCGAAACGCAATAGGCGTCTAATGGCTAGTCCGACCCGACTTGACAAGGAGACACGCTGATTGGTCGACGGCTTGAACCTCCGTTTCTCATACATTATTTAGTGAACGTTTCAGCTTGAATAAAGCTACTGGCCAAGTGAATCAGTGCCGTTCCTTCCAGTTATTTGAGGACCGTACTCCCGTAGGGCCGTTGAAGTAGAGTTTCTGGTCTAATCGCCATTCAAACCGAGTCTTACCGCAATCAACCCAGCCTGACCGCCATGAATCAGTGGCGTCGCTTCCAGTTCTTCGAGGACCGTTCGCCCGTCGGGCCGCTAGCCGACGCGCTCGCGCAGGGCGTGCGGTGCGGCGCGGGAGGCCGAGGCCGACTAGCCGTTGGCACGGAGAGCGGCTCGGTGCTGTTGCTGGATCGGTCGCTGCAGGTTCGGCGAAGCTTCGTGGCTCATGAAGGTCCTGTGGCGTTTCTACACCTGTTCAAGGTTAGGATGGGACGTATTCAAACGTATCCGACAGATTTTCAATTGTTCTTTTACAAGAAGACCACCACCACTTTACATTTCCTCCAAACGCCCTTATTAATTACTGTTTATGCATGATATGTTTTGAGTAAAGTCAAAACTACACTGTTATGCATGATCTGTAATACACTTCAACTAACATCCTGACATCCATTTCAAACAACATCCTGACATCCATTACAAGTAACATCCTGCCATCCATTTCAGGTAACATCCTGCCATCCATTTCAGGTAACCTCCTGACATCCATCCCCCTTCGCCCCTCACCTCCCCTCTTCCCCTACTCTCAGCAACGCAGCTGTCTGTTGACAGTGGGCAAAGAGGCGAAAGGAGCCACAGTGATGTTGCGGGATCTGGAGACAAAACTGCTGCTCTTGCTCTCAAGACCCCCTCTTTCCCCCTTCCCCCCTCGCCCTCCCTCGCTCGCCCTCCCCCCTCAACCTCCCCCCCCCCCTCCCCTACTCCCAGCAACGCAGCTGTCTGTTGACAGTGGGCAAGGAGGCAAAAGGAGCCGCAGTGAAGCTGTGGGACCTGGACAAGGCTGCTGCTTCAGGTGTTTCTTCAGGTGCAGCAGCAACGGAGGGAGGTGCACCGGCGCTTCTACGGACCTATAACATCTTCTCAGACGCTTTTCCAGCTGCACAGGTGATTATATAATGGGTGTGGTGTTTGTGATCATGGTGTGTGTGGGAGCGAATGAGTGGATGGAATGTGAGTGTGAGTACATGAGTAACTGTGTGCCCAAGTGCATGTCACTGAGAATGAGTGAGTGAGTAAAAATGGTTGGGAAAAAACAGCCACCGGTGCGATTCATCCAATCACATAGGCAATCAAACCTGACCATTGGATTAACTACAGATCTCTAAGATGTGCTCATTGTTCTTCCTCCCTAGCCCACGCTTTTCCCACCCAACCCCTGTCTTCTCTTGGTGCTTCGAGCCCCACTTTTGGCCTACCACCCTTGTTGCCCTGGAAATTCAACTAAGCAGCTTCACGTTTCCCCATTCCTCGTGCCTGCAGATCACAGCCTGTGCAATCCGCGAAGCGCCACAGCAAGGCTACCCCCTGGCTTTCCCCCCTCCTGGCTTCCCCCTGTCGTTCCGCCTATCCTCCCTCCTCCCCTGTCCCCTTCCCGACCCGCTCTCCCCCCCTCTTCCCCCACTCCCCTTTCCCCATGCGTGCAGATCACAGCCTGTGCTATCCGCGAAGCTCCACAGCTGGGATACCTCCTGGCCGTTGGATTGGCCACAGGAGCCATTGATGTGCTGCTAGCAGATTCCTCCATGCGGATCAAACGGCTGAGAATTCCCCCTAACAGCAGCCAGGGGCAGGGCGGGGTGGGGGGAGCGGGCGGAGTGGGGGGAGCAGCAGGGAGAGAGGGGGCTGGGGAAGGCGGTGGGGGAGTGGGAGGAGATGCGCTGGGTGTTGGGGAAGGGAGAGGAGGTATAGCAGCAGGAGGAGTGGGAGCAGGAGCAGGAGCGGGAGCAGGAGGGAGGAGTGATCACCCCACATCCTCCTTACACTCCGCCCCTTCTACCTCTGCTTCTGCATCTGCTTTGCCTTTAACTGCTGGCGCTCTCCCCCCCGTTGCAGTCACAGGGCTGGGGTTCAGGATCCTGGATTCGGGCCCACAGCTCTTTATAGTCACGGGCGAGACAGTCACACTGTACACTCTACCCAGTGGCATGTTTGGGGCTGTAGCGGAGGGAGGGTGGGCGGTGAAGGGAGGAGGAGGGGGAGGGGGAGGGTGGGGAGTGGTGTTGGAGGAGAGAGGGGGGGATGTGTTTTGCTCTGCCATGACTGATACCCAGGTGAGCGGCATGAGTGAGAGTGAGTGAGGGTGAGTGATCGTGAGCGAGGGTGAGTGATCGTGAGCGAGGGTGAGTGATCGTGAGCGAGGGTGAGTGAGGGTGAGTGAGGGTGAGTGAGGGTGAGGGAGCGTGAGTGAGTGTGAGTGAGAGTGAGTGAGCATGAGTGAGCGTGATCCCTGCTCCCCGCCTGCTCCTCTCTCTCTTGTATCCCCTCCCCCCTCTCCTTATCAGGACCTGGTGGTCTGGTGCACGTCCAGAGGCTTTTTATTGGTTCAACGAGGATGGGCCGGGGGCCTGCATTTGGGCATTCCCACCCTGCCTGTGCATGCCCGTTTTCATGCCTCATCTCTCGTGCACCCCCCTCTCTCCCACCACTCATCAGGACCTGGTGGTGGCGCGTTGAGAGGCGTTCTACTGGTTCAACGAGGATGGGCACGGGGGCATGCTTTGGGCTAGACGGTCCCTCTTCCCTTGCCTTTGCATCTCCTCTTCCTCTCCCACATCTCCTCGTTCTTTCCCCTTCTTTCTCCCATCAGGACCTGGTGGTGGCGCGTCCAGAGGCCTTCTACTTTTTCAACGAGGATGGCCCGGGCGCCTGCTTTGGGCTGGACGGCCCCAAGCACCGCCTCGCCTGCCTGCGAGGCTACCTGCTCTGCCTGCACTCGCCTCCCTCCCCTACTGCTCCCACTGCCACTGCTGCTGCTAGCTCTGCTGCTGGCTCTGCTGCTGCTGCTGGCTCGCCAACAACTGGTGGTGGTGGTGGCAGCGGCGGGGAGTCTGGAAAGCAGCAGAAGAACGGCCATCAGCAGCAGCAGAAGATGGTCCTATCAGTGTATGACACGCGCAACAAGCTGGTGGTGCACTCTGCGCCTCTCACCCCCGCCGCCTCGCTCCTGGCGCCTCTGCTGCTGCTGTGCGAGGGAGGCGCCGTCGTGCTGCTCTCCCTGCACCGACGGGGAGATGGCGGGGGAGGGGTAGATGCAGGAGGGATCTCAGCAGGAGGGGTTTCAGCAAGAGGGGCATCAGCGGGAGGGGGAGGAGGAGGAGGAGGCGGAGCAGTAGCGGGGGGAGGTGCGGGAGCAACAGGAGGGGAAGGGGCAGTGATAGTGGAGGCGAGGGGCCTGCTGCTGGTGGAGAGGGACATGGCATGGAAGCTGGAGGCGCTGTTTAGAAAAGGGCTGTACTCCAGTGCTCTTGACCTCGTGGTGTCCCAGGGCGGCGACGCTGCTGCCACGACTGAAGTGCTCAGAAGATACGGCGATCATTTGTATGCCAAGCAGGTGAGCTCAGTAGTCTTCAAGGCGTGTGTGCAAAGCAGGTGAGTGAGTGGAGGCGAGGGGGTTGCTGCTGGTGGAGAGGGACATGGCGTGGAAGCTGGAGGCGCTCTTCCGAAAGGGGCTGTACTCCAGTGCGCTGGACCTCGTGGTGTCCCAGGGAGGGGACGCTGCTGCCACGGCTGAAGTGCTGAGGTGCTATGGCGACCACCTATATGAGAAGCAGGTGGGTTATGTATGGGTGTGAATGGGCACGAATGGGTGTGGGCTGGTGCTCGAGGCGCTGTTCCGCAAGGGACTCTACTCCTGTGCTCTCTGAACCTCGTGGTGTTCTGGGGAGGGGATGCTCAGGTGACCAGGCTCCCTTAAAACACAGAACTCCCCTCCCCTCCGCTCCCCTCCTCCTCCTCTCCCTCCTCCTCCCCCCCCCCCCCACCTGGGCAGGATCATGAGGGTGTGATGGCGCAATACAATGCGAGCGATCGGGCAGGTGGAGCCGTCGTACGTGATTCAGTGCTACCTGCACGCGCACAACACAACATACCCCCCTCCCTCTGCCCTCCCCTCTCCCACCCAATCCCGCATTAGCAGGACTATGAGAAGGCAATGGGCCAATACGAGCGCACCGTCGGGCAGGTGGAGCCGTCGTACGTGATTCAGCGCTACCTGCACGCCCAGCTGTTGAGCCTGCTCGCTGAATGCCTCCAGGAACACAGTATCTCCCTCCCGTCCCTCACCTCCTCTCCCCTTCTCTCCCTCAGCCCTCACCACAGGACTACGAAGAAGCAATGGGCCAGTACGAGAGGACCATCGGGCAGGTGGAGCCGTCGTACGTGATTCAACGCTACCTGCACGCGCAGCGGTTGAGCCAGCCTGCTGGCCTGCTCGCCCTGCTCGCCTGGCACCAGTACTCACACAGTAATCTCATCCCCCTCTCCTCAAATCCGGGCAGGACTACGAAGAGGCAATGGTTCAGTATGAGAGGACGATCGGGCAGGTGGAGCCGTCGTACGTGATTCAGCGCTACCTGCACGCCCAGCGGCTGAGCCTGCTTGCCCTGCTCGCCTGCTACCAGTACTCACACAGTAATCGCATCCCCCTCTCCTCTCCTCAAATCCGGGCAGGACTACGAAGAGGCAATGGTTCAGTATGAGAGGACGATCGGGCAGGTGGAGCCGTCATATGTCATTCAGCGCTACCTGCATGCTCAGAGGTTGAGCCTGCTGGCCCGGTACTTAGAGCGGCTGCACGATAAGGGCGTGGCAACACCGGATCACACTACCCTGCTTATCAACTGCTTCTCACGCCTCAAGGTGAGTGGATGCGAGGACACAAGGTCACAAAGCAACTCAGCCCTGCCGGGTTAGAAAGGCTGATCCTGCACGCCCAGCAGCGGCTGAGCCTGCTGGCCCGGTACCTGGAGCGGCTGCACAATAAGGGCGTGGCAACACCGGATCACACTACCCTGCTCATCAACTGCTTCTCTCGCCTCAAGGTGAGTGGATAAGGGCAGGGGTGATGGGCATGCGGATTGGTGGCTGGAGCAGCAAGTATGGGATAGAGATGTGCTGGGCTACAGAGGCGCTACCTGCACGCCCAGCGGCTGAGCCTGCTGGCCCACTACTTGGAGCGGCTGCACGATAAGGGGGTTGCCACACCCGACCATACCACCATACTCATCAACTGCTTCTCGCGTCTCAAGGTAATATAATTGCAAGGATTGGGTTGGGTTGTGCTGTGTCAAGGCATGAGCCTGCTGGCCCGGTACCTCAAGCGGCTGCACGATAAGGGTGTCGCCACGCCAGACCACACCACTCTGCTCATCAACTGCTTCTCACGCCTCAAGGTGAGTGGATTGATTGTTTCGTTCTCTTTAAGGAACTGCCTGCAACATGATAAGGCAGTGCCTGCCTACATCAGGACTTTTGAGGCGTCTCAAAAGCCTACACTACTCTGCTTTTCAACTGCTTCACACGTCTGAAAATGCAGACGGATTGATTCAAGTGGATTGTACAGGTGTAAGCGGACCACACCCGTTTTCACCTTTCTCTCATCCCTCCACACCCATTTGCACCGTTCTCATGTTCTCTTGCTACTCTCATGCATTCATGCTGCCCTCTGGCGCATCCCTCCACACCCATTTGCACCGCTGTCCCAGGACGTCTCAAAACTAGATGCCTTTGTTCGCGCCGGCTTCGATTCTCCCTCCTCCGATACCCACCCCATCGAACCACCAACCACAACCACACCCAAGCCTTCATCTACCCCCTCCTCTGCCTCCAATCTCCCCCTCTCCCTCTCACTCCCTCACTCCTCCTCCTCTCCCTCTCTCCCATACGATCCCGACACGGTGATTCAAGTCTGCTGTTCCGCCGGGTATTACAACCAAGCTCTTTTCGTAGCTCAGCGTACCGCTAAGCATTCCGCTTACCTAAAAATCCTTGTGGAGGATTTACACCGCTACGCCGACGCGCTGGCTTTTATTTCCGCCCTTCCAGACCGGGCGAAAATTGTTTCGGCTGCCCGGGAATACGGGCCGGTGCTGGCGGCTCACCTGCCCGAGGAAACTATTTCTCTGTTCTTGGAGCTCTGCACAGGCTTCGGCAGCAGCAGAGACGGAGGGGGGATGGGTGCAGGAGGGGGGATGGGAGCCGGAGGGGGGATGGGAGCCGGGGCTGTCTCAACAGGTGGGGAAGTTTTAGGGGGAACTGGAGTGGGACCCTCTCGGTTTAGGGATAACAGAGAGTCTGCCTCTCCTCGCCCCAGTCCTGGTGCTTCTTCAGGTGCTGCTGCTGCTGATGCAGCTGCAGGCACAGGAGCAGCAGCAGCAACACCAAGAGGGGGAGCAGCAGCAGTTGCCCCGGTTGCCATCCCCCCTCGTTCTTCCAGCTTCCGAAAATCACTCGTTTCCGGCTCGGGCAGGCTCATGGGCAGCCCGAACAGTTCGGGCAGCAGTGGCAGCGCCAGCGCGAAAATCCGCATCACGGACCTCGGGCAGCAGCAAAAATACCTGTCACCAATGGAATTAGCCCCAGTGTTTGTCGACCAACCACGTTGCCTGATGAAGTTCCTAGAGGCCTATGTAGACAGGGTTATAGACTCCCCGTGGCATAAAGACGTTCTTAACTCGCTCCTCGAGTTATACCTTTGTTATGAGACCTCTGCCTCTCTCCCATCCTCCTCCTCCTCCCTCCCGTCGGATTCTGTTTCGGCTCTGTCTGATTCTGATCTTCCAAGCTTTGAGTCGGTTCTAAAAGCTGCTGCTGCTGCTGCTGGTAGTGCTGTTGATTCGGCTTGCAGTGACAGCACGGGCAGCTCGTTTCTTTCAGGTGATTCTGCCCGGACGGACCCAGTGCGGTGGGCAGAACGAAGGATGCTTCTCGGGCAGCAGAAAGAGAAAGAAGCAGCCAGCAGCAGCAGCAGCAACAGCAGCAGTGCTGCTACCAACTCCTCTTTCACCCCCCCTTCTCCCACCTCCCTCACTTCTCCTCCTGCTGCTGCTGCCGCTGCCGCTGCTGCTGCTGGAAAAGGAGGAACAAGAGCAAGTGGGGAGGGGGGTGGTGAAAGAGGAGTTATTGTGTCTCCCAGGAGTGCAGAGGGCAATGATCGGGCAGCTTGCTTGGCCAAGGCGGGCGCGTTGCTGCGAGCCTATTGGCAGCAGCAGTCGGCTCCTCGTTACGACGCTGACCTGGCACTGCTGACGTGTCAGGTGAGTAAGGAATTCTCAATAGTGATTCCAGTATTGCGTTTATGTGTTGGATGAAATAATTTTTACCCGCATCCCCCTTGTTCCCTCCTTCGCCTTCCCACTCCTCTCCTCCCCTGTCTCCTCCCTCACCCGCTCCCTCGCTTCCCCGCTCGTTTCTCCTTCCCCCCTCCCAGGTACATGGTTTCAGGGAGGGTCTCCTCTTTCTGTATGAACGAATGCGGCTGTTTAAAGAGGCCCTGGCGATGCACATGTGGGAGGGCGGCAGCAAGGCGCTCATTGCTGCGTGCAAGCGATTGGGTGAAATTGGTGCTCCCTCCTCTCCTCCCATCCCCTCCCTGTCCTCTCCCCGATCCTCCCCTCCCAGGTGCATGGCTTTAGAGACGGGCTAATATTTCTGTATGAAAGAATGCGGCTGTTTAAAGAGGCTCTGGCGATGCACATGAGGGAGGGCGACAGCAAGGCATTGATTGCTGCGTGCAAGCGATTGGGAGATGCGGGGAGGGGGGGAGATCCCAGTGTGTGGGCTGACGTTGTGAGGTACCTGGGGGAACGAGGGGAGGCGTGCGGGGAGGAGGTTGCGGAGGTGTTTAGTGCGGTGGAGAGGGGTAACCTGCTGCCGCCGCTACTGGTTCTGCAGGTGAGCTCATTGCAGGTGGTTTTTTTGGCGGATTTTCTCGAGAAAATGTTGGGCCACACTCATATGCTCCCTCCCTCGCCCTTTTTGCCTCTCTGCTCTCTCCTCTCCGCCCCCCTCCTTTCCACCCTTGGTGCCTGGCTCCACCGCTCATGGCTTGCCCCTCACACCGGACTCTCTCTCGCAACCCACACATCATGGTGTGGTAGGTATGGGACTACTATGTGTCGCGGCGCTTGCAGCCCTTCTCCCACATCCTCTCCTTCTCTTTCCTTCCTGCTCCTCTCTCTCCTCTCGCCCCGCTCACCAGACTCTCTCGCGCAACCCACACATACGGTTTTACGTGTCGCAACATTCTCACATGCAGCCTCTCTTCCTCCCTCTCCTCTCTCTTCCTCCCTCTCCTCTCTCTTCCTCCCTCTCCTCTCTCTTCCTCCCTCTCCTCTCTCTTCCTCCCTCTCCTCTCTCTTCCTCCCTCTCCTCTCTCTTCCTCCCTCTCCTCTCTCTTCCTCCCTCTCCTCTCTCTTCCTCCCTCTCCTCTCTCTCCCTCCTGCTCCTCTCTCTGCCCTTGTCTCTCACACCAGACTCTCTCCCGCAACCCACACATCACGGTGGGCGAGGTTAGGGACTTTGTGTCGCGGCACTCTCACACGCCCTTCTCCCCCTTTCTCCTCGCTATCTCTTCTCCTCCTCCCTTTCCCCGCATGCCTTGCCCCCAACCAGACTCTCTCGCGCAACCCGCACATCACGGTGGGGGAGGTACGGGATTATGTGTCGCGGCACTTGCAGCAGGAGACGGCCATCATTGAGGAGGACAGGCGGGCGATCGAGAAATACCAGGTGGGGAGGGGTGGGAGCAGGTGGGGATTTCAGATGATGGGTGCACACACACATAAACATATCAACCCACACATCACGGTGGGGGAGGTACGGGATTATGTGTCGCGGCACTTGCAGCAGGAGACGGCCATCATTGAGGAGGACAGGCGGGCGATCGAGAAATACCAGGTGGGGAGGGGTGGGAGCAGGTGGGGATTTCAGATGATGGGTGCACACACACATAAACATATCAACCCACACATCACGGTGGGGGAGGTACGGGATTATGTGTCGCGGCACTTGCAGCAGGAGACGGCCATCATTGAGGAGGACAGTCGGGCGATTGCGAAATACCAGGTGGGGAGGGGTGGGAGCAGGTGGGGATTTCAGATGATGGGTGCACACACACATAAACATATCAACCCACACATCACGGTGGGGGAGGTACGGGATTATGTGTCGCGGCACTTGCAGCAGGAGACGGCCATCATTGAGGAGGACAGTCGGGCGATTGCGAATTACCAGGTGGGGAGGGGTGGGAGCAGGTGGGGATTTCAGATGATGGGTGCACACACACATAAACATATCAACCCACACATCACGGTGGGGGAGGTACGGGATTATGTGTCGCGGCACTTGCAGCAGGAGACGGCCATCATTGAGGAGGACAGGCGGGCGATCGAGAAATACCAGGTGGGGAGGGGTGGGAGCAGGTGGGGATTTCAGATGATGGGTGCACACACACATAAACATATCAACCCACACATCACGGTGGGGGAGGTACGGGATTATGTGTCGCGGCACTTGCAGCAGGAGACGGCCATCATTGAGGAGGACAGGCGGGCGATCGAGAAATACCAGGTGGGGAGGGGTGGGAGCAGGTGGGGATTTCAGATGATGGGTGCACACACACATAAACATATCAACCCACACATCACGGTGGGGGAGGTACGGGATTATGTGTCGCGGCACTTGCAGCAGGAGACGGCCATCATTGAGGAGGACAGGCGGGCGATTGAGAAATACCAGGTGGGGAGGGGTGGGAGCAGGTGGGGATTTCAGATGATGGGTGCACACACACATAAACATATCAACCCACACATCACGGTGGGGGAGGTACGGGATTATGTGTCGCGGCACTTGCAGCAGGAGACGGCCATCATTGAGGAGGACAGGCGGGCGATCGAGAAATACCAGGTGGGGAGGGGTGGGAGCAGGTGGGGATTTCAGATGATGGGTGCACACACACATAAACATATCAACCCACACATCACGGTGGGGGAGGTACGGGATTATGTGTCGCGGCACTTGCAGCAGGAGACGGCCATCATTGAGGAGGACAGGCGGGCGATCGAGAAATACCAGGTGGGGAGGGGTGGGAGCAGGTGGGGATTTCAGATGATGGGTGCACACACACATAAACATATCAACCCACACATCACGGTGGGGGAGGTACGGGATTATGTGTCGCGGCACTTGCAGCAGGAGACGGCCATCATTGAGGAGGACAGTCGGGCGATTGCGAAATACCAGGTGGGGAGGGGTGGGAGCAGGTGGGGATTTCAGATGATGGGTGCACACACACATAAACATATCAACCCACACATTACGGTGGGGGAGGTACGGGATTATGTGTCGCGGCACTTGCAGCAGGAGACGGCCATCATTGAGGAGGACAGGCGGGCGATCGAGAAATACCAGGTGGGGAGGGGTGGGAGCAGGTGGGGATTTCAGATGATGGGTGCACACACACATAAACATATTAACCCACACATCACGGTGGGGGAGGTACGGGATTATGTGTCGCGGCACTTGCAGCAGGAGACGGCCGTCATTGAGGAGGACAGGCGGGCGATCGAGACCAAGTGGGGATGGGTGAGAGCAGGTGGGGATGGGTGGCATGATTTAGATTTTACGACAAGTACCAGTTCCTCGCCGCCACTTGTTTTCCAGTCCTTCCGAAATGCCGAGGGCAACTCACCGCCTGACCCTGCTAATTCCTCCCTCTCTCCATCCCTCCTGTATCTCGAACACCCCTGCACGCCCCAACACCACGAGACTGACAAGGAAGGAGCTTCACCAACTCGTGACTGAGCCTCTCGGCTTCCGGTCCACCCGCTTTGCCGAGTGCAACTCTCTCCTCTACCCTGCTGACTCTTCCCTCTCATTCCGTCCCTCCTGTATTTTAACCCCTGCGCACACCAACAGCACGAGACAGACAAGTATCGAAAGGAGCTGCACCAACTCCTGACCGAACCTCTTGTCTTCCACTCCTCCCGCTGTGCCGAGTGCAACCACCGCTCGACCCCACTATTGTTCCCTTCTCCCCGCCGTATCTTACATTCCCTTACCCCAACAGCACGAGACTGACAAGTATAGGAAGGAGCTGCATCAGCTTCTCACCGAGCCTCTTGTCTTCCAGTCGTCCCGCTGTGCTGAGTGCAACTCGCCGCTCGACCTCCCCGCCGTCCACTTCTTTTGTCTGCATGCGTTCCACCTGCGCTGCCTCGCCGACCCAACCACGGCTGTAGCAGCCGCTACAGCCGCTGCTGCCGCCTCCCTGGGAGGTGACATGGGGGGTGTGAGCGGGGGTGGAGGGGTAATGGGGGGAGGCATGGGAGGGGGGGTGTATGGCAGGGGAAGAGGGGAGGCTTATGGAGGAGGGATGGGAGTGGTAGGTGGAGGGGGTGGAGAGGAAGGAGAGGGAGAGGATGGAGAGGATGGGGGCTTGGAGTGCCCCAAGTGTGCTGCCTCCTACAGAGTGGTGAGGGAGATGCGGATGGGGCTGAGGCAGAGTGCGGCGGACCACGATAGGTTTTTTCAGGAGCTGCATGACGCGCGCGACGGCTTTGGCGTTGTTGCTCACTACTTTGGCCGCGGGCTGGTTGGGGCAGCAGGAAACAGCGCGGAAGGCGCCTTGTAATGCGCCTTTAGGGTACATTCGGGCCTTGATGCGTCACAAAAGTTTGCGTCACAATTGAATGTACGGTACCACTCCGTACCGAACTATACCAAAGTTTGAAATTTTTCGACAATGTTCGATTCTTGGGTGTGACTCGGTGTAATACGATGCAGTGCGGTAGAATCTATGCAACGCATACTTTTGGGACATGTCCCGTCCCGAATGCACCCTTAGTGGTGAGAGGGTTTAAAAAAACGAGGAAAGTGGGGCTTGAGTGTGAAAGCAGCGCAGGGGGTTCCTATGTGGTGTTCTATATAAAGGTTCTCCTGAAGAGTTTCCTCGAGTACATGTGGCAACATAAAACATGTTTGGTGTCATGTATGTAGTATTTGATGTTCAGCTCCCGTCAGTCTAAAGTTGTATTGCTTAGGAAATCGCTTTTGACATTACATTCACTTCATTTCCTTGAGGAGAGAATGCAAGTTAGGTGTACAGCATTTATTAAAACGTGGAGTGGCCATCCGCTCATTGGTCGAGCACTGTTACAACAAGCACACGAGGACACGGATCTCTGTCCAGGCGAGAGGGATCTGTCATAATGACTTGGCGACAGAGCGGTGCCAGTGCGACGGAAAAGCGTCGCAAAAAGACGTTCTCAACTCGCAATGAGCGACTGTGCGAATGGATAAGGAGATCTTTGAGGTCGCCTAAAGCCGTGTCATCTCACGCGCGAAAGACTTTCGGTGGCGGAGGGAAATGCGGCGACGTGATATTTCTCGTTTTGCGAGCACGAGCCCTCACCCCGTGACCACGCGCTCCGTTCACGGGTTCCTTAAGTCCACAGATTATTCGTGTGCTGGCAGCCCCTCCGCACGTCGCGCTAACGAGGAGATTCTACGTGTGTTGCTCCTTGCGCCACGCCGACAGGCCGGATTCCGTTCGACCAATACGGAGGGACGGAATCTTTTGAGGGGAGCATCTTCGGACGGATCTCCCTGGACCTCGCCCCCTCCAAGCACAACGCGGTCCCATTCACGAGGAGTGTTCCAGACCGTTCGGTGAATCTGTCGTGCCGCCACGGACACCACAAACTCGTTGGATCCCCCATAACTTTTGTCTTCTGCCCTATCCCCAAGGAAGCCCAATGATACACAAAACAAGACCAGCGCACAACACACATACGAACAAAAGTACCGCAGTCCAGCGAAACCAACCAATCAGTTACTGCAAGGTGCCCTTTTCGCCTTTAGTTCGCCCACGTCACGACGACATGCTTCTCCTGTCCGCCCAACCTCCCTCTGCCCGTGCCTGCCCATCGCCGCCATTCCAATCTGCCCCCTACGCTCCTCTAATCTGCCCTCCTCGCACCTCTAATCTGCCCCTGCCCGAGTTCCTCCCCTGTTCTTGAAATTTGCCTCGATACGCTCAACCAGGTTCCATCCATGGCGAGGTCGTGCGTTCACCTCGAAGCCTTTGAAAGAGTGCACTGTACCGCACTGTAACGTATTGTACCTTCATATGTATGTGTTCCCCTTGCGATTCAAGCTCGTTCCCTTCACTTTTGCGGCTCTGACGAATTGTCCTGTTTGGTCGGGTCGGGGGTGCGGAGCAGTGGGCTTTTTAGTACGAAGCCCGCGGCAAAGACTGAATTCCATTAGAGATTTAATCCTTACAGCAGTGCCACGGCAAAGCCCTGCAGTGGCAGCTGCTCCAGCGTCTCCTCTCGCTGCTTCGCCGCATCTACATCATCCCCCGCGTTCCTGAATTACGCACTCTCGCGACTTGTCGCAATCAGCTTTTAACAGCTCCCAAGGACCTGCCGGCGGTATGGATAACACTCGCACCCTGCTCCTGCGACGTCAGTCCACCCCGCACGCTTTCGCCCCATCCGGCACATCCCTGCTTCCGTCTCCCGAGAAACGCGCGTCTCAGCACCTCCGATCATCAGCGAATTCGCAGCGGAGCCCACGCCTTGGGCAATCCTCCGGAGTCGCGGCTTTCCCCCGATCTGTATCCTCTCCCGCCGTTGCTCCGCTCCGGAGATCGCTGTCTTCCCCCGCACCCGACGCTATGTCTTCCGCGGCCTGCGGATTCTTCTCTGGAGTCTCGGTAGTCTCACCCCTTTCGCCATTAGATCGCTGCGCAGCTCGTAATAAGAACGATACCGTTTTCAACAGCTTTCGGAGGCGTAGCCAAGTCAGAGTCAACCCGTTCCTCGCGGAAAAGCGGAGGAGCGTTACGGCGTCGGTCAAGCTATCCACCACAGCGGCTGCTGCCCAGCGTGATGCGTCTGATGCGGCGCTTATTGACTGTAGCCGAGTCGTAACCCCTTCGTCCAGCGCGTTAGATTCGGCTAGCGTCACCCCTCCGGCCGTTACTCCTCCGCGCACCGAAGCCGTCGCGAAGCTTCCGTCGCCCAAGATGGACCGTCGCACGCTTCTCGGACTCGGCCTTGCGACGGTCGCTGCGACGGGAGCCGCGGAGCTGGGATTAGTCGACGCGGCTTTGGCTAAGACCGTAGAGCCTTCTAAGAAGCAGCCTATGTGGTTCTTAGGCGACGCGGCAGGGGGTGTGGACGGAGAGGGGGGGCTGTTGGGTAATAGCGCAGCAGCGGCGAGTAAGTCGCGCGTGTATGACGCTACAACGGTTGGCGAGCCGGCTCTTGTCGGGGATAAGACGAAGGCGTGGGAGAGGCTGCTGGCGGCGAAGGTGGTCTACCTTGGCGAAGCAGAGGTCGTTCGCGATCCCACGGATAAGGTGCGAAAGCGGGTTTGGTAACTGTTAGTAACCACTTGTTTGTGCGTGGCGCTGTCTTGCCTTACCATTCTCAGTGTGCTATTTCTGCAAAGATGCCTCACTCTCATCAATCTCCCCAACAGCCCCAGTCCCTCATCCATCATCTCGTCTCCTTTTCCGTCCTTCCGACGTCCCCATCCTCCTCGTCTCTACTCTCGCCGTTTCTTCGCCGTCGCACAAACCAGCCGCCGCACAGCGAGTCGCTCCCGCAACCCCCACCAGATTCCCCCCTTCCTCTTCGCGGTCTGATGCTGATCAAATTTGATACGATCTGATTGCGTTCTCGCAGGCGGTGGCTCTCGAAATTCTTCGCAAGCTGCGCGACGAGTCGTTCGCCGCGGGTCGGCCGGTCACTCTCGCGCTCTCCGCGTTTCCGCGCTCCATGCAACCGCTGCTCGACAAGTTTATCGGAGGAAGGTAAGCAGGTGAACGTTTGTTCATCCCGTCATATTTTGTTTTTCCTTCTGTTTCCTTTCTCTCCTTGTTTTGTTCTAATTTTAACCTGCCCCGATTCGTCTTCGCTGATGCGTTTTTCGGCAGGCTTCCTGAGGATGAGCTCCAGGTGGCAGTCAACTACTGGCCCAAGGGCCGCTTCCAGGAGATGTTACCACTCCTTCGCTACTGTCGCGAAGCAGGAATTCGCCTGTTCGCGTGCGGCGTGCCCCCCAAGGTGCTTCGCACAGTGCAAGCCGGTGGCATTCAAGCTCTCTCCCCGTCGGACCGCAAAAAGTACGCGCCGCCGCTTGGAGGCGGCTCGGCCGCCTTCCTGCGGCCCGACAGCACCTCTGCCGTCCCTTCGTACGGCACCGCCCCGACCGGCGGCTCGTCGGCACTAGCAGGCGGCGGCATCAGCAGCATCAGCGGCGGCAACGGCGGGCTGCTGGGAATCGAACCCATCGCGAACGCCGCCGAGCCTCTCGTCTCCCGAACCTCCTCCCGAGCCTCGTTCCCGTTCGGCCCGGGCCCGTACTGGTTCGCGCAAGCGCGAGTGGTAGAGGATCACGCTATGGCCGGTGCGATCTCGCAGGCGATGTCAGAAGGCGGGAAAATCGGGCTTCTAGTCGTTCTAACCGGCGCGTCGCACGTGCGATTCGGCGCCAATGGTCGCGGCGTGCCGTCGCGCGTCGCGGATTGGCTGCGCGCGTCGCCGGCGTCGCAGGCCGTCGTGCTGCTCAACCCCGAGCGGCAGCGCGCGCGGCTCGAGTCCGATTTCCCCGAGGCGGATTTCTTCTGGTATTCGGGCAGCTGGGCGTGCACGCGCAACTGCTTCGACCGCGCGGAGATCGCGCGCGTGATGGGCGCCGCTGGGCGCACCCCCGACGCGCTCCCGCGCGACCTGCAAGTCGGGATCGAGCGCGGATTAATCTCCCCGGACACGCTCCAGTCCTTTTTCGAGCTCGAGAACAACCCGCTAATCGCGGAGGCGACGAAGCGGTTCGAGGGATTGCGCGAGCGGTTCTACGCGGATCCGCGATTCCTGCAGCGGCTGTGCACGGAGGAGGCGATTAGCATTGCCACGTCACTCGCCGCGCAGTTTCAGAAGCGCGGGGATCGATTCTGGTCGGAGCTCGAATACGTTTCCGCGGATATTCTCCGCGGCACGGTGGTGAACTTTTTTTCGGTTTGGCTGCCCGCGCCGCGGCTCTCCTTCAGGGATGCCGCGGGTCCGGCCGCGCAGGCGGCCGGGGGGGCAGCTGGGGAAAAACTTTTTGGCGGGCTGACCGCGTGGATTTCCACGCTGCCCCACAACGCGTTTCAAATGGCCGGGCCCGGGCAGAATTTCGGTCTGGCAGAACGAATCGGAACGGTGGTGGTGGCGGGCACGAAACTGTTTTCGGTCGGATTCGTTTCGAGCGTGGCGACGCTGTCGCTGACGAATTTCCTGGCGGACATGAAAAACAAGCTGCCCGCGAAAACAACGGAGCAGGCAGCCAATGGGCAGGTAACCACAGAAACGGAAACTGGAGTGGCAGGGGCGGTGGGAGGGGGGGTGGCAGGTTCGGGAACTGCAGCAGCAGCAACTGCAGGGGAAGCAGGCACAAATGGCAGCGGATCTACAGTAGCGTCTACAGTAACAAAATCTACAGTAGCGAGATCGCCCGTGTTCAAAACGGCGCTGGTGTACGGCGCGTTCCTGTCCACGTCAGCGAATCTGCGGTACCAGGCGATCGCGGGGATTGTGGAGCATTGGATTGCAGACCATTATTTGGCGTCTTATCCCCTTGCGGGAACTGCTGTTTCTTTCCTCGCCCGCACCGCCAACTCCTACTGGGGCACCTCGGTACGCCCCCTGCTGGTTCCTCCCCTCCCCCCCACCCTCCCCCCCAACCCCCACCCCCACCCCCAACCCCCACCCCAATACATTTTCATTTATTCCCGTTTTCCCGTTCACCCCTTCTCCCGCTACCCCACAATGCATAGTTTTCGCTTGGTCTGCCTCTCTTTCCCCCCCTGTCTCCAGCAGTGTGTGCACCCTGTCTCACAATCCCTACATCCCTCCCCCCCGCTTCGCCTTTTTCCTCCCTTCCACTCCCAACCTACAGCAATGGGTGGATCTCGCTCGCTTCACAGGCCTGCAGCAGTCACCCAAGCCAGCAGCAGCAGACGCTGCTGTGACTGTAGCAGCTACAGCCGCCCTGCCAGCAGGAGCTGTAGCCGCTGGGAAAACCGTAGCAGCTGCAGAGGCGGGTGAATCAGTGGGAACCAATGCAGCAGCACCGGGAGCAGTAGCAGTAGATGCTACCCCCACCAATGCTCTTTCTGCACCTTCTTTTGGGTTCCCTTCCCAGGACTCCCAGCCTCCACTCATCCCTGCTTACGCTGGCGTACATGCCAATGCGGCAGAGCTCTCGAAAGGAGCTGCTTCTAGCGAGTACCCATTTGCTGCTCCAGTAGCTTCAGGTTCCGCTTTGATGCCTTCTGCTGCCGCTGCTGCTGAGTTTTCTGCCACTGCCACTGCCACTGCCACTGCTGTAGCTTCTGCAGACAGCAGTGGGGACGAGGTAGGTGCAGCAGCACTGGGAGCAGAAGCAGCAGCAGTGGAAGTAGCAGCAGTGGCTGCAGCGGATGTAGCAACAGTGCAAGCAGCAGCAGAGGATGTAGCAGCAGTTGTGGAGTTTGGAGAGGAGGCTGTAGCAGCTGTGCAGGCAGGGGCTCGTCTTGTTCCGGTGGAGGTGCTATCTGACAGGAACGTGCTAAACTACCACCAGCATCAGCAGCAGCAGCACAAATGAAGCAGCGGCGGAGGAAGGAGCTTGTTTTGTTCCAGTGGAGGTGCTATCTGACAGGGGCGTTCTAAACCACCACAACCACCACCAGCAGCAGCACCTCAACTAGAGCAGCAGCAGAAGCAGCAGCAGCAGCAGCAGCACACTGAGAGTGGTTTCTGGGAGGAATAGAAACAAGAGAGGAAAGGCCACTGCCTTCTCTCCACTCCCCCTCTTCCACTCATGTCTCCCCACTGCAATGGGCACAACCACAGCCACAACCAAGTTCTTGTCAAACTATATGTGCTGCATATTGTCTAGGCTGTAGTGGGGTAGCCCATATGGGGTACAACCTAGTTAGGGTTTACTACTTGTACTCCTGCATCCTGTTAGTTCATCCATTCCTGCTGCTAGATTCTAACATGGTTTCAGAGCACTAAGGTCCGTAGGACCGTTTTTTTTTCGGGCCCACCTACCGCTGCGGTTACCGCGCTACCCCACGTAGCCTTGCCTTGCCTTGCCTTGCCTTGCCTTGCCTGCGCGCTGCCCCTAGAGGCCCGTAAGGCCCGCGCGCCGCCTCTACACGCCTGTCAGGCCCGTAAGACCCGCACACACGCTGCTACCGCGCGCTGCCCGCACCGAGACCGCGCAGCCCGCACCGAGTCGCGCGCAGCCCGCTGCAGCCACGCGCAGCCCGCACCGAGCCGCGCGCAGCCCGCTGCAGCCGCGCGCAGCCTGCACCGAGCCGCGCACAGCCCGCTGCAACCGCGCGCAGCCCGCACCGAGCCGCGCGCAGCCCGCGCCGAGCCCGCGCAGCCCGCGTCGAGCCGCGCGCGGCCTGCTACGGCCTCGCGAGGCCCGCGCGCGGCCCGCAGCAGCTCGTGCCGAGCCGCGCGAGGCCTGCTCCTGCCTCGCACGGCCCGCGCGCGGCCCGCAACAGCCCGCGCCGAGCCGCGCGCGGCCCGCTACTCCCTAGCGCGGCCGCGCGCGGCCCTTTGCCTCGGCCCCGACCTGCCGCTGATGCGGCCCCGCCCAGCAGCTGCCATGGCCCCGACCTGCCGCTGATGCGGCCCCGCCCTGCAGCTGCCACGGCCCCGACCTGCCGCTGACGCGGCCCCACCCTGCTACTGCCGCTGACGCAGCCCCGCTCTACAGCTGTTTCGGCCCTGCTCTGCAGCCGGTTTTGCGGCCCCGACGTCGCCGCTGTCGTGCGCATACTCGAGCGCCGGCCCTGCTCTCCCAGCCTTTGGTGAGCGCCTGCCTGCCTGCCTGACGGCCTGCCTGTCTGCCTGCCTGCCTGCCGGCCTGGCTGCCTGCCTGCCTGCCGGCCTGCCTGCCTGCCTGCCTGCCTGCCTGCGTGTCTACTTGCCTGCCTGCCTGCCTGCCTACCTGCCTGCCTGTCTGCCTGCCTGCCTGCCTGCCTGGCTGCCTGCCTGCCTGCCTGCCTGCCTGCCTGCTTGCTTGCCTGCCTGCCGCGCCTGCCTTGCCTGCGCTACTGCTACTGGCAGGTGGCCAGATGCAGCTCCAGCGACATTCACGCGAGCCTCTGACGCCCCAGCAGCTTAGTGAGTGGTATACTAGCTGGGGTTGTCGCGGTAGCCGTCGTAGCTGTCGCCCTGGAGCTGGTCAGTTGGGAGCGTCTGGCAGTGGCCAGCTGCAGCTGCAGGGACGTCCACGTGAGACACTTACGCCCCGGCAGCTCCAGGAGTGGTACGCTCAGTGTAGCAGGTCTACGCGTACAGTCCGCTGCCCGTACGTCATTCGCACAGGTGCTAGGACTGGTCAGCCTTGTGGGACGCTTGGTCACACACAGTCCCGCTGCTTCGCCCATCTGAGCGACGACTGGCGCACAGTGTTTGGTGACGAGGCTGAGCTCCCCACCTGGCTGGAGCTGCATAGACAGAGGGTAGATATCTTTGCGCTTGACTATGATGCTATTCTCACTGCCATGTATGCATTGTCTACTAGTGCTGACCGTGCCTGTTGCCTGTGCGTACCGCCTGACCCTGGTGAGGCTGCTGCCCTAGGTGCTAGTGCGTCTCCTGCTCTAGGTGCTGGTGAGGCTGCTGCTCTCGGTGCTAGTACGTCTACTGCTCTAGGTACTGGTGAGGCCGTGGCTTCAGGTGCTGCTGTGTCTGCTCTCTCTGGTACTGCGCCCACTGCGGTCTCGCACACCTTCACCCTTGACTCAGGAGCTTCCCGCTCCTTCTTTCGCGACTGCACCGCACTCACGCCGCTCCGTCGGCCAGTCCCGGTCTCCCTGGCGGACCCCTCTGGGGGTCCAGTCCTTGCCCACTATTCCACGGTTCTGCCGTGTCCGGCCGTCCCATCCGGCTCGCTGTCAGGTCTTTTCCTCGTCTCTACGAACTTGGTGAGTGGAGCTGACCTCCAGGATGGGGGGGTTCACCAGTTCACTCCTGCGAGTCAGCGAGTGACTCACTGTACGTGTGCTAGGACGGGCCGGCACTTGGCCACGTTCACCCGTGCACCTGGCTCGAGTCTGTACACACTGACCACTGAGTCCCCTCAGGTAGCTGCGTCTGCGTTTGCGTCTGCGTCTGGTCAGCTGGCGGCCCCCTGCGAGTGTCGCGCTTTGTCGCACGACACTCTCCTGTGGCACCACCGCCTTGGTCACCCCTCCTTGCCTCGCCTGCGTAGCATGCACTCTCGCTCCCTGGTCTCTGGTCTTCCCAGGTCCCTGCCTGCCCTCCCTCCCTCGCCTGCGCCGCCCTGCATTCCTTGCGTCGAGGGGCGGCAGCGCGCCGCTCCTCACTCCTCCTCGTTTCCTCCCACAGAGGCTCCACTGCAGACGCTCCACCTGGACGTGTGGGGCCCAGCCCGCGTCCAGGGACAGGGCCGCGAGCGGTACTTCCTGCTGGTCGTCGACGACTACACGTGTTACACCACGGTCTTCCCCTTGCAGAGCAAGGGGGACGTCCCTGCTGTTTTGATCCCCTGGATCCGCGCTGTTCGTCTCCAGCTCCGCGAGCGGTTCCGGTCGGACTTTCCTGTCCTGCGTCTGCACTCTGATAGAGGTGGTGAGTTCTCCTCCGACCTCTTGGCAGCCTACTGTGCGGAGCACGGCATCACCCAGTCGTTCACGCTTCCGGCCTCTCCGCAGCAGAATGGGGTTGCTGAGCGCCGCATTGGCTTAGTCATGGAGGTCGCTCGTACCTCCATGATCCATGCGGCTGCCCCCCATTTTCTGTGGCCGTTTGCGGTCCGGTACGCCGCGCATCAGCTCAACCTCTGGCCCCGTGTCTCCTTGCCGGAGACCTCGCCCACACTGCTGTGGACGGGGAAGGTTGGCGATGCGTCGCGTTTCCGGGTCTGGGGTGCTCGTGCCTTTGTCCGCGATACCACCGCGGACAAGCTCTCCGCCCGCGCTGTTCCCTGTGTCTTCCTTGGCTTTGTCCCTGACGCGCCTGGTTGGCAGTTTTACCACCCCACCTCGCGCCGTGTCTTTGCGTCTCAGGACGTCACGTTCGACGAGTCGGTTCCCTTTTACCGTCTCTTCCCCTACCGCACTGCCTCGCTCCCCCCCCCGCCGCTCTTCCTTGCTCCAGGTGCTCCCCAGGTAGACCCCCTCCCCGCTCCCGGTCCTGCTCCTTCAGGTGTTTCTCAGGTAGACCCTCCTCCCTTGACTGCGCCGGTTGAGGTCACTGGTGACTCAGGTCCTCCTGCGAGTGGTCCTGCTCGGGGTGCTGAGCCTGGGGGTGCGGAGCCTGGGGGTGCTGAGTCTGGGGGTACTGAGCCTGAGGGTGCGGAGCTTGAGGGTGTAGAGCCTGGTGGTGCTGAGCCTGCGTGTGAGGGGTCTGGGGGTGCTGAGCTTGGCGGTACTGACGCTGGAGGTCCTGGAGCTGTTGAGGGTGCTCGCGCTGGAGGTTCTGGAGTCGCTGGAGGTACTGGTGCTGAGGGTACTGACACCGGAGGTTCTGGAGCCGTTGGGGGTGCGGGCGCTGAGGGTTCTGAGTCTGCTGTTGCGCGGTCTCCTTGGAGTGGCCGCCTTCGTCCCCGTGTGCCTCTCACCCCACAGCAGCTGCAGGACTGGTACGGTCGCCGTCAGCGTCGCGCTGCTGGAGCTCGGAGTCGTGCTGGTCCTTTGTCTACTGGAGGTGCTGGAGTTGCTGGTTCTGGAGGGGCTCGTGCTGGAGACACTGAGGCTGGAGACCCTGGGACTGGAGGTGCTGGCTCTGGGGGTGCTGCTGCTGGAGACACTGAGGTTGGAGACCCTGGAGCTGGAGGTGCTGGTTCTGGGGGTGCTACTGCTGGAGACCCTGCGGTTGGAGACCCTGGGACTGGAGGTGCTGGTTCTGGGGGTGCTGCTGCTGGAGACACAGAGGTTGGAGACCCTGGGACTCGAGGTGTCGGCTCTGGGCCTGGAGCTTCTGGAGCTGCTGGAGGTACTGG